GGTTTATTAGAACCCAGGTTGGGTTGAACTTATTGCCTGGAGCAGCTTTTACTGTGGGTGGGGAGTGTGTACCCAATATTGTCCGTTTCCCCTTTGGTATTTGAGTCTCTGTCGCTAGCTACACACTTGTCCCGTGAACATGGTGAGGTAATGAGCGAAGAGAGCCTTGTCTGGACCAAATCTGTATGCAGTTTCTGCCGCTTCCACTCTCAAATGCATCGCTATTTACTACATGGATACATGTTAGTTTGACATTTATTGTGCACAAAGATTGCATGGCCGTAAGGATCACTGCAGAGATCCTGCCTAATTACCGATTTTGTAGAAAATCGTTAGTGTTCTCGTAACCAAGCACTGAAAGCTGGAGTGAGCTTCCTGCTGCTAACGAGCTGGTACGAATGACTCCTGCATCAGGGAGGAAAAGGTGTTTTTTGTCCAAGCTTCTACAGTGAGGACTTGTTTACACAGTGTGGTGTGTGGAGCCCTAGACACATACAAATTTTGGATTCGCATCCCATGGGCCAGCTGCAGATGTCTGAGGATATACAAGGTAAGTACCCTCTCCTCCCTATCAAAGCACCGGCAGGAGATATGAGCAGAAAAGATTTGCTGGTCTTGAGTCACTTCCTTACCAGCCCTTCCCTTCTGCTCCCCTATTTCCCCAGGGCAGAGGAATAGGCTGTAGGCACAGCTGGCAGCAGGCCCTCCACTAGGCTCAAGCAGAGCTGGTGACCACTCTAAAGGGTTCCAGTAACTTGAGGGCATCTAGCATCCATGTTCCTATATATGGGTGGAGGGGCTGGTCATGTTCCCTACACAGTTGTTTGTACCCTCAGCTTCCTGCTGGACCGCTTTGCCCCCTTCAGGCAGAGAAGAGATGCTACTGCAACTGTTCCCCTTGCCATAGGCAGGAGGTGTGGAGAAATGCAGACATCTCTACCTGCAGCTTCCTACCCGGGTAAGTGTGCGTTTACATCAAGTTGCACCTTGGCTACAAGCACAAGGAAGTTGCTAACCTCCCAAGCCTGCCTCTGGTGCAGCAGTAACTGTGGTGTTAAGCTCCCATGAGTGAAGTCATGACCTAGGGTAGAATAACACCCCTAAACAACTGGATTCCACTGTGCCTAATTCATGGCTCAGCATCTTGACCAACCAATGACAAGCCCATACCCAAGAGCTGTACAGGACATAACTTTAATA